AACACTAGGATAGTCCTTGCCTTAGTGAATACTAGGGTAGATGGTCCTTACCTCACTGAACACTAGAGTAGATGGTCCTTGCCTCACTGAACACTAGGATAGATGGTCCTTGCTTCACTGAACACTAGGGTAGATGGTCCTTGCCTCACTGAACACTAGGGTAGATGGTCCTTGCCTCACTGAACACCAGGGTAGATGGTCCTTGCCTCACTGAACACTAGGGGAGATTGTCCTTCCTCACTGAACACTAGGGGAGATTGTCTTCACCTCACTGAACACTAGGGTAGATTGTCCTTACCTCACTGTTGATTTACTCTACCCCTATATAATATAGCAACAATTCTAAGTAGAAGCTTATGAAGCTTTATGCGACTAATTCAGCTTTAGTACTGAAAATATTTTATTATAGTGGATGGTTACGAGCAAGAGGGGAGATAGGATGTGCTTATTTTATTACCGCACTTTGTAGATAAAGGGTTCAGTTCAAAATTCCCTGAAGGTTACCTGGATTGACAGACATCCAAAGAAAGCTAGAATGATTTTCTTTTTTTTAAATAATGGGTGTTTTTTGAAGTCACAGGATGAAGTCTTATTGAAAAACAAACTTTTGTCATTTTAAATTATTTAAAAAATGTTGAGGCTTTTTTTTTTCTTTAAATTTGTAAGTTAAAGAATGAAAAAATAATTCAAATTCTGATAGTTTGCTCTCTATTGTTATATTTTTAGCAGGGACACAATGGATCTTGCAATGAAAATTGTTCAAGAACATTGTGGCAAGTACATGAAGGTGTATGCCAATTGTGTTGAAAGATTTCCCGATACATGGCACTTGGACTGTGAAGTTCCTCGAGTCAAATTGGCTGCATGTGCTGACGGAAAGTAAGTTTAAACATTTTTTCTTTTAAATAATTTCTTAACCATAGCTGTCTATATTTCTGATATGAGGTATTGTAACTATTTGCCCTATTCACATTGTTTGTACTGTTGTCCTAATCTTTATTGTCATATACATGTGTTCCGCTGTTGTGTATGCTCCGACCTTCTTCAGGTGACATACGTTGGAATTTCAAGCCGAACCCTTTATTGCATTCACAGGTGTAGATTGCTCTAGTTTCACGTTCCATGCCTTTTCTGGATATCTCAGTTTGAGTAATTTCCCTTTTGTAACTCTAGACTCCAGTTTTTTGTTTAACTCTGCTGTGGCCAGGTATTGAACTCACAATTCTTTTATCCACTGGGCTAAATGGCCCAAAGAGTTGGGAGTTCAATATCAGGCCACAGCATAGTTGAAGTGATATGCAAATCCTTTTCACTCTTAGCCAATCAAGGTTCAAGTTGCTGGGCTGCATAGACTGCTTTAAAAAAAATACATGCAAATTTATTTCACTTCTAGCCAGTTAAGGTACTGAGCTGAATAGGGTGTTTAAAAAAAATCATGCAAATTTATTTGCCTGATGAAATCATAGTGGGTAGGGTGCTAAATTAGGCATTTTTCTTTAAATAATTTACTGATTAATGGTTGAGATATCATTAAGTTAACATAACCTATCTGTTTGTCTGTACATCTCCGTGCAGGTGTCTCAGTCTGTTTGTATACGTGCCTCTGCCTTGGTCTGCTCATATTTGAGCCTCTATCTGCCTCTCTCAGTCTGTTAGCATCTCTCCATCAGCCTCTCTCAGTCTGTTAGCATCTCTCCATCAGCCTCTCTCAGTCTGTTAGCATCTCTCCATCAGCCTCTCTCAGTCTGTTAGCATCTCTCCATCAGCCTCTCTCAGTCTGTTAGCATCTCTCCATCTGCCTCTCTCAGTCTGTTAGCATCTTTCCATCTGCCTCTCTCAGTCTGTTAGCATCTTTCCATCTGCCTCTCTTAGTCTGTTAGCATCTTTCCATCTGCCTCTCTCAGTCTGTTAGCATCTCTGCATCTGCCTCTCTCAGTCTGTTAGCATCTCTGCATCTGCCTCTCTCAGTCTGTTAGCATCTCTCCATCTGTTCATTTTCTTTTGTGTTTCATATTCTTTTTCTGTCCATTTGATTGTAACTGTCTACCTTTGTGTATTTCTCTCTCTTTCACTTTGTTTCTGTCAGTTTCTCTCTGTTTGTATGCATCCGTCTGTCTGTCTCAGTATTTTTTATCTATCTTCTTGTACCTCTGTTTTTAAGTGATGTATTCAGATTTCATGTCCATGAAAATATTTATAAACTGTTACTATTCAAAGGATTTATCTTAAAGTCTTAAAAGATTATTGAAAACCACATGTCTCGTTTTGGTCACCTGACATTTGATGGCAACTTCTGCATATTATAATTTTTAATTATTTATTATTTTTAATTTTATTTCTGTTTGACTGAATGAAAAACTAAAAAGGAAATTATTCTTTTCTTTGTCTAATTTCAAGTCCTCTTGTGGTTAAAATCAAAAACAGATGCTCAGATATTTATGAAGATTATGAAAAATGTTTGGTCAAGAATCCAATCCATGTACAACACTGCACAGACCAACTTTACCGTTTCAATGAATGTGCAAGAGAAGTAACAGTAAAAGGTAATTCACCATGCTATTATTTCTTTTTTAGTTTTGTATTAAGAAGATGTGTTGGTAGTGTAACTGTTATCCGCATAAAAAGTTAAATTGGCAGGCCAAGTTCAATTTCTGGTCTAATCTCCTGCTTTCATTTTTACACAAATTCCCTTGTTAAAGACATTAATCCATCTATTCTCCCCCTAGCTGTTGGTTAAATAGCAGAATAGATTGGGCTGTCATGGTTGGCAGCTGATTTGTGAGAATTCCTCTAAATTCAAAACTGGAGAATGCAACAAGAAACTATTTCACAGTCTTTCCCCAGAAGACCTGGCAATTCACAGATAATAAGAAAATGGAATCTGTGGAGAAGGCAATGGGAAACCACTCCACTATCTTTTCCAAGAAGATGATAAAAAAAAAAACAATCTGTAGTGAGCCATGATCATCTGCATCCTGAAGAGACATGACTGATAGTTTTTTTTTTCTAATCATTTCATCCCAAGCAAGGCAATAAGGCAACTAAGATGCAAAGGGGTTACTGAGTGTGAGAGAATGAGAGAAACAGAAAACATTATTAAGGTGAGAGAACAATGAAAGAAAAAGGAATTAAAAAGACAGAAGATAACGATAGACATCATATTGATATTTCTAAAGATCAAAATTGGCTGGAAATCAAGAAAGCTTAACCCTCCAGGGGCATGTTGAGGGTAAGCAAGATATAGGGGAAGGCAGCGAGCCACTTACTGGATGAGCTTGTATGAATGGATGGAAGAGTGTGGAAGGCTTAGCAAAAGGGGAAAAACTGCAAAGGCTCAAAGGAGATAGGACGTTTAGGAGAGCCTTGATCACTCATGTTCTGAAGGGACATGGCACATAGAAGATGATTGTCCCAGAGTGTTGTGGTAAAAATAACAATAATAAGATGGAATAAAATTAGTAATAAAATAATATTAATAAGGAAGAGTATTGTTTGATCCACAGTGTTTAGATAAAAAAAAACATTAATAAAATGTTAAACTACTACTAATATAACAATATTGAAAATGCTTCATGCAAAAAAAATTTCAAGAAATAACTTGGTGACTATTTTTTTTTTGTTTATTGCAGCTAGAAATTCTTCCTGACATCAACTTTGGTTTGGATTTAGAAGCGGAACGTTTTTCTTTTATGTCTGTATAGATTGCAATTTTATCAAATTCATGGAAGACAAATTTCATCAGAAGTGAAGATGTTTTCGTTACTATTTTTCTCAGACTTTTGGAATATTTAGAAGAATAAAAGAATTAAAGAAAGAAAATACAATCCCAAATTTGAAAATGTTTTCAGTTCCTGGATTTGTCTTTTATTTATATATTTTTTTTATTGCCCTCATATTTTCATAAATTTTTTTTCCATATAACAATACAACACATTTTGCTGACTGCTTTACAGCCAATAACTAGTTTATAGTTGATTTCTCATAATTGTGGTCTTGTGGCAAACTAGGCATGTTTTTCTGATGCTTTCTAATACAGTGAGTTTGATTTGTACTTAACCATTATGTACTTACATGGTGGACCAAAATGTTCCCATGTTGTAAAATACTCTGATTGATTGATCGATTGTTCTGTTTTGATGGATATCTACTTTGTCAGTTTATTAATGCTGAAAAGATTTTTTTGTTTAAATATATGGCTTGTAAACAAACCTTTGGGTTATTAGTTCCATCATTTTGAAAAGGTCCGCTAGACTAGTCATGTCATAAAATCATTGGTTAGAATATATTTTACGATATATACTTCCTGACATACTGTGCATTCAGGAGGATGTACATTTTAAGGAGACATGAGTGGGTGATATAGGTGTGTCCAATAATGGCATCCCAAATTTTCACAACCATTTTTACGTGTTGCCGTTGTATGCTCTGGCCTTCTTCAGATGATTGAAATTTCTCAAGGACACATAGCCCAGTGAATAAAATGTGTTGGTTGGATCCAGTAACTTGACCCAAAGAGTCTGGCTACTGCTGTGGTGAACAAAAACTTGGAGAGTTGTGTTAAAGGGAGATAACTGAGACATCCGGAAGAAGCATGTAATGTGGAACTTCCCTGGTGGACGAAATAAAGGGTTCAGTTCAAAATTCCAATTACCTGAAGAAGGTTGGAGCATACAACAGCTGAAACATCGTGAATATGGCAAAAAAGATAAGGACAACAGTCTGACGAATGTAAATAGTGTAAATAATTACAATACGTCATCTCAGAAATATAGACAAATATAGATCTTGGAGTCGGATACTTTTGCATCTATGCAAATTTGAGCTGTCACTCAATCTATAAAAAGTGATTAATGAAGCAACAGAACAGTGCGACTGTGGTAGTGAACGGGACACATGTTTGTTAGATTGCTCGACTTGAGAAAGAAACAGATTAGCGAATTTTATTTCAAGCACGAAGAAACTGACTACAAAATTAAAATGAATATATGCCATTAATATATCAGCACCTGGTATTTCCAAATCGTCACCCATCTAGCTACTGACCAGGTTCAACATTGCTTAACTTTGGTGATTGTACAGGAACAGGTGTTTCAATGTGATGTGGACATTATTCAACAACATAAAGGGTAATGGACTGTTAAGTAATATTAGTGAATGCTGGACAGTTTCCTCACAGGTGAAGAGCAGACTTGAGGTAACAGAGATATGCTTCTACAGAAGGATACTGAGAATTGAATGGACCGAACACTTGAATAACGACGTAGTTCTAATGAAAATAGAAACGAAAAAAAGTACACTTAGAATCAGAAAGAGATAGATGAAATTTCTCAAATACATAATGAAGAAAGAGGGTTTGGGGAATTTGACCCTCACAGCGAGAGACAGAACAAAACGGTGAGTAACTTACCCAACAAACTTGTGTAAGTGTAGAGCAGAGCAGGAGCTTGGAGGGGTGTGAAAAGAAAAATCTTACTAAAAAGTTTAGGAAGTTATGCAAAAACTTAATCGCTCACGGTTTGAAGGGACACAGCACATTGAAAATAAACGAAAAATTCCGTGCCAAAGGGAGGTAACTGCATTAAAAATGTTGATGTAAGGGAGATAACAAAGTTACAAAACACGATTTTCTCCCCTTCTGTTCTATTATACGCGATCAAACCGGAAATGTAAAAACTTATAAATGTTCTGTTTGGAAAAGTAGACAATTTTTTTAACCGATAAATGTAGGCACCTCCACTGAATTTTCGATTCCTAAGGATTAAAATGAATTTGAAAGCTAAATGATTAAATTTATTATTCCCAGTAAGCAAAATACTCTGATGTATTTAAAACAGAAGTTATATTGATTGGAATATTGAATCTCAACTTCTCGGCCGGTTTCACAAAATTTGTCATTTTTGACAAATTTGTAAACAAAAGTTAATTTTCGGTTTTAAAAATCTTCCAAAAATAAAATATATACTTTTTTGAAACTTTATTTGAAGAATATTAGCTGATTTAAAAAAAAAATTATTTACCTTAAGTTTACTTTAAAATAAAAGAGTAATGGATTTTTAAAGCAAACAGTAGTAGTGATTACGCGTTTAACACCGTCACTTGACATTCGCAGAAAACTTGACAAGCAATGATAAAATCTGTCAACATTTTTACTGGTGTAATTGTTGTTCTATGGAGACTTTATCTGTTAAAACATAATTTAAGAAAATGACGGGTGAGCGCTTTTTTTATATAATTTTTAAGAACTCACTAATCCTAAAAATGTTGGAAAATATTCTCCGTATTCAAATTTTAGGAATGTTGAATTTAAATTTACTATATTCATCACTCTTGTTTTTTTTTTTTTTATTATGCTGTGTATGGTCGACAATATTTTCATACAGAGTATGTTACGTAATATTTTATATACATAAAAAAATTAATTTAAAAAAAATTATTGGGTGTAAGCCACTTTTATTGAGCATTTCAATTTTAAGTTTTCACTTAATAGCAATATCACTTAACTGGATTGAAGTAATGCAGAATTTTAAACGATTTATAATATTATAAATTATATTAAAATTTAAAGAAAATGAAAACAGTTCTTATAAAAATTTATTATTCATCGATAAAGAATTTTTCTGAAGACAATAGTGTCCTTAATAAATCTTATTTATAAAAACAATTAAAAGCTTTTCTAATTAAATAATGTCATAGTTTTATTGCATTTATTATTTTAAGATTTGGAGCATGTTTTTGAGAAATGAGTAGCAGTTTGAAAAAAAAAAAAAAGTGTTTTACATTCTCCAAGGAGTCCTGCTTTTAATTAAACAAATTTGGAGATTGCAATTCAATTTTTCGAAATTTCATGAAATTAAGTGTGTGTGTGTGTGTGGTTTAATATGCAAAAAAAAAAAAAAAGTACCAATATTTTCTGAAAATGAGAAATTCAAAAATAATTGTATTCATTTGTGAATAAGTTCTGAAAGTTTCATTAAAATCCGACAATTTTTTAGATTTTTGCAAGAATTTCCAAGCAATAGCCTTTTCACCGGAAAAAACGCGGAAAAACACTAATCAAAAATTAACGTCGGCCTTCGTTCGACGTTAAAAAACGATTTTTAACCAAAATTTCGAGCGTAGCAGAAAAGATTAAAAAATTAATAAAATAAGAAAAACGTACTTTGGTCTTTCCTCTTAATAACAACATGAACATTTTTAACGATAACACTTTGTTATTATTAAGTTTGGGGCCTTTTTTTCATCATGCTATGGTGTTTTTCAGCGAGCAAGTGGAGGTACTTAAATAAATGCATCAAAGTTAAAGACCTAAAAGAATTGTCTGGAAAATAGATTTTGTTCACTTTTTTTTAACAAAGATTTGTCATTAAAAACGAACATATACACAATTTTATTTTTTAAGAAAGGTCTGAAGAATACTAATTCTAAAAAAAAAAAAAAAATCTTTATTTGTACGAGCGGATTATTCTACTTAAATAGCCTTGTATTTTATAACCAACGGGAATTCTCTTTAGGGCATCGGTGTGCACTTCGAAGATTATGGACTCTTGGGGTCTTCATATAATTTTTAGGGCTGAATTTTTCTCAAAGTGCAATAAACAGGGGTTACTTAATAAAGTGATGGGAGTCGGAAAATCATTTAAGGGTAAACATGTTCGAAGTTAAGTTCGAAGTTAATAAGCAGTGTAGTTTGTCGTGTCTATAAAAAAATACAAAATTAACAATTAATTATAGTGCCATTAATTATTTATAATTATCATTAATTCACTCATTCTAAACCAATGAAAATCAGCCTCACTTTTCTCTTCTACACATACAAACGTGGGATTCTCACTATCAGGCGAACACTTCACACGGACAGGTTGTCAACACGCGCGTCAACGATGATTTCGGATCTTTTTCAGCTCATAACGAAGAGTTCTTCTCTCGGTCATCTCTCCTCAGCATCGAGGCTACCATCCTTCAACATTGCCTCCGCTAGGTGGGTCACATTACCAGAATGCGAGCCATTCGACTCCCACCTATCATCCTGTTTGGAGAACTCGCCAGCGGCAAAAGGCTACGCGGAGGCCCAAAACGACACTCCAAGGACCAGTTTAAAACATCCCTGATACAGGCCAACATCGACCCTGAAACCGTTGCCGCAAATCGGCCGTCCTGGCGTCGGACCATCCGAAGTGGGTGGACCGAGACTTTAGTGTCCAACCGTCAACATGCAGAGGATCTGTGACGTGCTGTCAGGAGGTCCGAACTCACCCCTCGCACCCACAACTCACATTCCTCCGTGATTCCTATTCACAACTCTTCTGGAGTAGGTTGGGCCTTCACAGCCATTTTCGTCACTGCCGCCAGAGGGGAGAAAGGAAATAAGGAAAAAAGTATGGCGGTTCCGATGCTCGAATGCGAGCGGGTGTCGACGATGATAATATCCAAAACGAATCTACCAGTGTTCCTGCTTTCCCTCCCGAGGCAAGTGTGCTGATAATGAGAGGTGGAGATTTACCGATCATATAGGTAGTCATAGTTGGGATAAGAATGACCTTGAAAAAAAAAAAAAAAAAAAAAAAATCAACATCCTCTACCAAATTTCCAAAACAGAAACAATGATCTGGAATATAAGTGAAAGCAGTGATGGCACCGACCCTGAATCCATCATAACAAATTCACAATGTGGAATTAACAGATACTAGACTAAAGCTCGGGATTTAACCATTAAGAAAAATAAGCACGTGCTATGCATTTAAGAACACATGGCATAGTCTAGATAATGGTATGGTCGTCCACAGACAAACAGAAATTTGATAATGGTATTATGTTTTACTGACCTTTCTGAATGGTTAATAAGGGAATGAGCTAAATTCTTTCTTTGTCTATAATTATTATATACCCTTGAATCACATTTTTTTTTTTTTGTCATTTCGACGGGAGAAAACATGAAATTTCGAAACTTTTTTAAAATTGACCTTTCCATGTATGGTGTCATAGGTTTTTTTTTTTGTATACTAATAAAAGGAATGGATGAGGGAAAATTTGATGCAACCAACATCCATTTTTGACATTTCAAAACAAAAAAAAAAAAAACAAAAAAACGGCCGAAACGTTGTGACAAAAACAAATACATTAACAATTTAACATACTTTTAAATTACTCTTTACATCTATTGCAAAAAAAAAAATTGCTAAAGATGGGGTTTAACTTTTTTGTGAACAGGGGTAGACTAACTTCATATTCGTTTGGCATTATTCAAGCTATGTGATTCTGTAACACGTTGGTTTGTTGATTACATGACCCCATGGTCAAAGTTCTGTTAGAATCTGATTGTGGCTCACGTGACAGTTGCTGCTCAGCTGTCATTGGTTCTTTCTTGGTTGGTATTGTTCTGGGTTGAAACTGATGATCAGCCTCCCTCGATGGTCCTATGTACCTTCAGTTCCTTTTATATTTATTTCTAATGTTTCTACAATGTACGTTGATATCCTTTATGTGCACTACTCACCGAGACTCCATGCTAGTATACTTAACTTGAAGATCTATGAGTGTTTAGGGTCCCTATGGCTTTTAATCCGGCCCTGTACTAAACACTTAGAATACTTCGGTGTATTGATCAGTTATAACAAATTTAGTATAGGAGATAAAAAAAAAATAATATAAAATAGGCTGAGTTAACGGTAGTTTTACCCAACACCGAACGAAGCTATGAGGTCAGAACATAAATATAATAATTCGAGTCTTGTTCTTAAAGAGCCTTATCAGATCTAGACTTGCGTATGAATGTCACGTATGGTATCTAACTCTTTCAAATATGTGTAAACTGTCAGCTGCATACTGTCGTTTTCTCGGATAAATGATTAAAAATGGCTTCCAGAGAATGAACCCGGAAAGTCTAATGGAAGACGCTCTTATTTTTTTTTAATCTTGTCGATAGGCACGACAGAATCACAAACAAAGAACTGTATCGAATATCCTCCTTCTGCTCAGCATCATCATCATAATCTTCATCATTATCATCAACAACAGCAATTATTATTGTTAAAATGGATACTATATGTAACTCGAAGAGAAAATAATGACATTTTTACACTAGCGGACTCTGAATTTTCACCTATC